TTCTCATCGGCTCGGCTCGGCTTCGCACCCTCACTTTTCAAAATGAAGCGATATGAGGGCGAGCCGCGAGCATTCCGATGTCATAATGTTACTACTACTTATTTAATGTAATAAAAATAATTGTCACAGCAAAAATGAGTAATTAATTCTTTAATTAATCAATTAATTCATAGTTCATGTTAAAATTATTTTTAAAATCAATAGACTAATAACTCACGTTAACTGAAGCTCTTGTGTTCTTCCTGAAGCCTCAAAGCTTTCAAAGTAAGATTAAAAAAATGTCTCTTTCTTAGTTTGAAAGTATAATTACACACGTTTATATTGAATAAGATTTGATTATAAATTATTAATTTTAATACATTATAAATAATATATCGATGCATTATTTTTTTCGAGTCCACTTTTATTGTTATGTGTTTTTTTAAATATAAGGGCGACTTAAAATGGTGGAGCTCTTATACATTTTTTATATGTATATCAACTAGCATTATAAGTATTATTTTGATGAAAACAAAGAAGTGTTCATTTGGAATATAAAAATTTTAGACACAGCCACATAGGTCGTAATTTAATTAATTAATATAGGCTTTGTTTTGTACAAAATGTAAGAATTGCGTATTTCATGATTCCTGAATAAATTTTTTATATTATATATAAACGTTAAGCATACAAATTGATGTAGAAAATGTGGGCATAATGTTCTAACGTTTTAACCGATAATGGAACAAATATAATATGCAATGCAATGTGCACATCATGGGAGATGAAATTAAAGTGTGTTCAGGAACATAAGATAAAATTTAAAACAAAATTGATTAAGCTTTTTCCTCAAACAACACACGGTATTGGTCAGAGAAAAAAAAAAACAGTACACGGTGTCAAATCTCACTTATCGTATTAGATCATGTCTAATACACATATTCACAAGGGTAAAAATAGTAGGCCAGACAAATAAATTCAAACTTATCTAATATTTTAGAGGCTTGAATCTACTCTAAAATCTATATAAATTTTTTTTATAGTTCACGCTTGGCCTATTCAAAAGCCTATTTAAATAGGTCTATGTATAATATGATTTAAAAAATAATGACTTTAAATAGGTTGTAAGGTTATTAAAACCTACATACAAATAATTTGATTTTGTAGGAAGAGAAGTTGAGGAAGATGCCGGATGAAGAGTAGAGGTAAAAAGATTGAACAAAAAATGGAGAAGTAACCACTGGATCTAGACAAGGAGTCAATAACGATTGACAATGTTGGAGGAAGAGTAACAAGCAGTTGAGAAATTGAACAAAGATTTGGAGATTGAACACTGGACGAGTAGTTGTTAACAGTTTGAAAACTAGGTGGAGGACGATGCTGTGGAAGTGTTTAGCTTTATTATTATTATTATTATTATTATTATTGTTTTAACTTTCTATATTTCCTAATTTCTATATGTATAAATAGTTCAGTCTATCATGCTTGTAATTAAGTCAAGTCTTGAAAAAATAAAACCAACTTATTTGCCTAAACGGACATGATCAAAACTTAAACATGCAAGATTGACCTATTCACTGAAAGTCAAGCCTAAAGCATGTCAATTTGTATGTCTTTGACAGGATTGACTTATTTTCACTATTCACATCAATCTTACATGCCATTCTCAACAATTTTATCTCCAAAAGCTAATAAATCATATAATTTCAGCATGTTTGATTTGTTGTTGTAATCGATGCTTCCAAGAATTTTGGGCAGGAATTGGGGAATGCATAAATGAAAATAACAAAAGAAGGGATTAGTATTGGAAAAATAAATAAAGTAAAAGCGGGGAAAAGAGAAAGAAGGTATAAAATATAGAAAAGGGGTTTGAAAAAGGGGGAGAAATTTTAGCTGGCAATATTCGGAAATGAGACACATGCTTGGTTGGCTAAAATTGATGTTGATGATGGAAGTGGAAGGCGATAATGTGGATGGAAATTCTCTGATGATTCCTTTGCCTTTAAAAAGCTTCCATGTGCTTACACGTGCTTCCTATTCTTGCCTCAATGCCCCTCACTCTTCTCTTCTTTCCACTTTTGATTGAGTTGTTGCCTCTATAATATATAAATCATTAACTTGCATTTATATGCGCGTGTTTATCCATTTCAACAATGAATTATATAGTATGTATAAATAAAAAGTTATACATGCATGAGTTTCACATACTTTCTCCCTTTTATAATGTTTACATTTACATATACAAATTACCTCACTATGCATGAATTAAAGATACTAGTTATTAAAAATGAAGAGTCACTATTGAGAAATGGGGAGAAAATAAACAAGTAAAGAACTGTGAAATGACTTAACATCTTAATTCAAATTCTCAAAACTCTTTATACTTCATTATATATGAGTATTTATCAAGTTTAACTTTATTTGATGTGTACCATCAACTAGGGTCATTCTTATTTTGGACTATAAATACATGTATAATAAAAGTACTTAAGTTTCAATCAAAACCTAACTTTGATAGCCTAAATTTGGAAAGAAGAGTGAAAAATATATCACATCTTAATTTAAAATTTTAATGTTTGAATTTATGAGTCGTTACAGCTTATTATGTATTTTTTTTAAATTTAACTTTATCTTATGTGGGATTTTTCATCATTAATTTTAGTTTGCTCACACTTAAACAACTTAGCCCTAGTTAAATGAAAGTTTTTTCATTAAAAATGTTAAAACTTTGTAATATATTTTCCAAAAACAACTCTAATTAAATGTTAAAGGCCATATTAATTGCTCACAATATTTAATTGTGCATGATGGCAAATTAGGAAAGGAAAAAAATTAAATAATTTGAATACCTTCTAAAGTTATATTTTGAACCAACAAAAACTTTGAGAAAATGACCTATATTATGGACCCAAGGAGCATTAAACTCAAGTCTTATTGTTGACACAATTAAATACCTCATTAATAGGTAAATTCGTGATTATTTCGGCAAATGCCTTTTGAGTTGTAGGACCTGCTTTTGTTCAGACTTCAGATGATTTCTCAAAATCCCATTGAAAAGTCCGCAATATTATAAATTAAAAAGAGGGAACAAAATCAAATAATTTAAAAAAAAAAAAGTGAACTAGAAGCAAAGACTCAATCATGAAGATGGAAGGGGTGGTATAGCTAGCTTGAATACAACTCATTGGGGCACAGTAGCAATTTTAATTTACATGTTCCGTGAAAGTCTCATGTATATGGATCGGTTCATTTGGTACTACTGGGTTGGTGCGTACATGGATGGATCTATTGTCTAGTCATCTGATCCATGATTTAGTCCTTAACTTACCAACCTTTCCCTACAAGAAACATTACAGCCTAAAAAGTTTGTTCCTAACATTAATTAAATCAAAACTTTCATCAATGCTTTCTTATTGATGCAAATAATTAGAGATGGGACGATGAAGTCAAGGTGGGTGAGTGCTCCTAGATTGGAAGGGAAGGAGGTGTTTGGTAGACATGAATCACTCAAACCACACACACACAAAGATAAAGGAAGAGATGTCAAAGAGCACCAAACTTAGCGGGGAAGCACCGAGGAGAAACTGTTTCAGAGAGGATTCATGATTGAAGTACAACGTAATGGTAAAGATATCAAGTTTGAATCCTACTCAATTATCTGGAAGCCACTGAAAAGAAAGGGATCATAACTAGATTTGCAGCCTTGTTCAATTCAAATATTCAACTATACTCCATTAGTCCCCCCTCCTTAACTTTTGCCTCACTAATGAGTATTGAATTTAGTGGAATGATTTATCTTCTCATAATGCGGTAAACTGACATTTCAATTGTTACTAAAAGATGTACTCGTATATTTAATGTGTGATCGTGTTTTGAGCATGAGTACTTCTAATAAAAATTGTTTCATATTATAATGAATAGTGGACAAGAAGAGGGGGAGAGAGCCGTGAAAGGAATTTGCCTTCTCTTTACTTATTTTTTCTTCAACCTCACATTTTAATCGTTATATTAAATTTTGAATAGTTAGGATTTAATATTTTACAAAATTATTATTAAAATGTGAAATTGTGAAAAATGATTAAATAAATTTAAACTATAAGATTTTATGCAACTGTAAAATATTAAATTTTAATCATTCAAAATTTAATCTAATGGTTGAAATGAGGAGACAAGGAGTGGTGGGAAAATTAAAATAGAGCAAGCCTTGTCCCGTGAAAGTTTATGGGCTTGGTTTGAATGGAAGGAGGGACCATACAAAAGCTACCCCACGCCGCTATTATTATTTTATCTGTTCCAAAACTCGTGGCTGATCTGTGTCCGTATCAGAATCCCTGCATGCCTCATAAATAGCTCCATTTGCAAATTACCAAAAAGTATTATTTTAAGAAAATGAATTTCTATGTATTCAGATTAATAAGAATAATAAGACTTAGTTTTATATATATCTCATAATTCATACATTGAAATAAAATATTTCATGCTTCGTGCTTCCCACTCCACACACATGATATGACTTGCCTTCCTCATTCATAGATGGGTTTCTTTCTTTTTTAGTAAAAGTTTTTGTTGCAATTTTGCATTGGCCATGAAAAGTTGAAATTCTCTGCAGTAATATACCATAGATTTCATTTTTAAAAAAGAAACACAAATTAAAAAAAAAAAACTAAGTACTAGTTTTTTTTTTTTTTTGGTTGATGGAAGTAAGAAGCTGTTGGCTTTGCCGGATGTTACATTTTGTAACTTCCAAATGTGTTGTTTCCGAGCATCACTGGTATGTCACGCAGCGTGCAGCAGAAATAATAATTTTAAAAAAAAGATTTTACTAATTTTTTTAATGCTCAGGACATAGCACAAGGAACAATATTAAAAAAATTGGTGAAGGGAAAAAAGAGGTAAAGTTTGTTTGGAAGCAACTTTTATAGCGTGGGGAATTTAATTACTGAAAAAGAGGGTGTAAAAAAATAAGAACATATGTTGGCCAAAAAAAAAACAAAAGAATAAATAAAAACAGAAAAAGAAAGTGAGGAAAGAAGGTTTCAATATGAAGGAGAAATCAGGCACAGTACTGAAACAGCAATAGCTAAGTGATCTGTTTTACATGAATATCTTGTGTTCACCATTTCCAGAACACATTGGATCCACACTTGTATTTGTCCTTTCCCTCGCATTCCAGCTCCAAATCATCGCTAATGAATGGCACTTTCTGCAATCCGTCCATTTTCAATCCAAACCAACGCACATACACGTCAGAATCCAATCACAGAATAAACCAGATGAATCAGAAAGACAGATTTCAAGAGAGATTAATTGAGGACCTTTTGCTTGGCGAGATCTTGGCAGCCAGTGAAGTTCTCAGGGAACTTGCAGGTCCCAAATTCCACCGTGTAAGCCCTAGCAAAATTCGCTCCACTCGTTGCCAATCTCTTCTTGTCATTCAATTCCTATATAACACCACACAAATCATCGTGCATCGATTTCGCAGAATAAGAGATCCATTAAGCAGATTTCAGATAGAAATTGAGAAACTAGATCTATCTATAGTTCTATACCTTGTTGGCCTTGCTTTTCTCGAGGTATTGTTCGATGACGCCGGCATTTGCAGCAGAAGAAGCGGCGGCGGCGAAAACGGTGGCTGCTAACAGAGAAATAGCGGCTCTTCTTCCTTGCGGAGCCGGCGAGGTTTGCTGGGCCTTGATCACCGGCAATTTGGGAGCAGAAACGGCCATGGAAGTGTGCTTGGAGTTGAATTCAGAAGAAGCCGCACCAGAAATGGCGTAAGTAGAAGCAAGAACAGCAGAGTTCATGGAAGCCATTGGTTGAGCAGACTCGCGAGGGTGATCAGAGGAGAGAGACGAGAGAGGATGAAGAAAAAGTATGTGTTTAGTATAGACGAATCGAGAAGACGATGATGTGGAGAAGAGATAATGAAGAGGATTAGAGATTGTGGTGGGCGTGTGGATAAGGTGAGATTGCCTCGCTCCTATTGGCAATTCCACGAGTTTTGATCTTCTGGGTTCTTGAGCTCCTGGGTCCCGCTTTAATTTCAATTCACAGTGTGTGCTTCATGTCTAGTGCTCTCCCATCTCCATCCGGTGGTCAAAAAATCACAAGACTTAGGTTGACTGAGAGATAACAAAAATGGAAATTTGTAGTATATGTTTTTGACAAAATTATTCTTTTAATTCTTTAATTCTTTAATTTATTTGTAACCCAATCATTTAACTGTAACTCGTTACAACTCGATTCTGTGACTATAATTTATTGTGACTCAATCTCTTAACTTTTAATTTATTTATAATTCAAATCTTATTTTTAATTTTTTTTAAATTATTTTTATCAAATAAGAGAAATAAAAGAAATGCTCCTAGCTTACTTTAAAATATACTCAGCTTACTTTTTAATATAAGATTTAAGATAACATAAAAAAAGAAAACCAACAAAAGTAGAGGGGTTGAGTCGTTGACTAGTTAGAGTCAAAAATTAAAAGATTAAGTCATAACGAGTCATAATTGAAAGACTAGGTTAAAAATTAAAAGACTAAAAAATTAATTTTTATGTTTTTATTAGGGATTTAGTATTTGTTTAATATATAAAATAAGAAATGAAAGATTAAAAAAAAAGTCCTTTTTGATGGTAGATACTAGATACCAAGGAAATTGAGTTATATATATTGATAAAATAGACAAATAAATAGCTTAAATGCTGTTCAAATTATTTCTATCCTCTACTAGAAAAGTAGAAAGAGCAGGCGATAAAGGACTAAAATGATTAAAACCTAGCCATCCATGGAGAGCCTCCTTAGCTGAGGAATCCGCTAGAGTGTTTCCCATTCTGAGAATATGCCTCATAGGGACCTCCCACTTCCAGCGAAGCATGGGTTGAATTCCCCTTATTAAGTGGCTATCATGATGAGCAGGATCATAGACCCCTGTAACAGCATTAACAACTTCAAGAGAATTGGATTCCAGAATGAATCTCCACTGACCCATGTCCCAAGCAATTTTGAGTCTCATAAGCATTGCCTAAAGTTTTGTTTCCACGCTATCAAATCCCACGTAGCCATGAGTAAATCCAACAAGTGAAGTCCCCATATGACCCTTAATTACACCGTCACAACCTCCCTTATTTAATCTTGGCAAGAAAGCTCCATCAACATTCAATAAGAGCCAACCTTGAGGTCGGGCAACCCAAGAGGAGCTACTTTAGATATTTATAAGCCCTGCTAAATTCACCCCAGCCAACTTATCCTTAAATCCTTGTATGCTTGATAAAATCGTATTGACTTGTACAATAATAGCATCACGCGCCTTGCTTTTTCCTTTAAAACTTGATTCATTTCGTCTACTCCACAAAGCCCAATAGCTTAATGTAAATCTGGCAGGCCAATCCAAGTCTCTTCCCATCCTTAATCCTCCAATATTCCACTTCAACCATTGAGCAAGAGGAAGTTCAAAGAAAACATTCTTATAAGCAAGCCTTAGTGTCCTCTCCCAAAAACCAAAAGCTTGGGGGCAATCTCAAAGGACGTGAAGAATATCTTTAGATTGATCCTTGCACCAATGACACATTCCATTGATATCCATTCCCCAGTTCTATCTACCCATATTCCTGAGTAAACATTTGTGATGTGCCAACCACATACAGGATTTGCAACATTAAGGGACTCAAATCTTCCATATCCTTTCCCAAGCATATCCCCCATCAAATCTGTGTTGCAAAGAGAATTATATGGTGATTTGAGCGAACACTGGCCACTTTTTTCTCATCTCCACCTTACATCTTGACCTCCATTAATAATTTATGACCCAAAAACAACCTTATCCCATATTGATTTAATCCTAGCCCAAGTATTAGAGCAAATCCGTTTTTTCTTAATAACGGGCAAAAGATCATCACCACACTTATATTTTTCTCGCACCAACCTAACCCATAACGCATCCCTATATTTCATGAGACTTCAGCCAAGTTTCATTAAATGAGCTTGATTTTGAAACTTACCTTACCGTATACCTGAACCTCCATCCTCTTTGCCCTTGCACACATTGTCGTAGGAAACTAGGTGGACTTGCTGTCCCTCCTCCATTGTCCCCCTAATAAATTTTTTATTGCTCCTATCAAGCTTTTCATAAGTAAACACAGGAAGGAGTGTAGCTTGCATTGTGTAGCTTGTAATTGCTGTACTTTTTGCTACCATAAGAGTAGAACGTCCCACAAGCGATAAGGAATTTGCTTTCTAGTTCGTAAGTCTCTTTCTCACCTCGTCAACCACCTCCTCGAAAGTATCTTTGCCCATAGACTTGGAGTGAAGATTGACTCCAAGATAGTTTCCCAAGTCAACTGTTTGAGTAAAGCCGAGCAAATGACTCAATTCATCCCTTCTAGCATTTTGAACATTATTCAAAAAGTGTCTTTTGTTTTGGAAGCATTAACTTTCATTCCAAAACTAACACAGAACTTCCTTAAACAGTTCTTGATCATATTAACTTCTTTGAAAAACAGAATAATGTCATCAGCAAAAAAAAAAGTGAAAGATAAGAGGGCCAGTCCTACCAATTATGATAAGCTTCCACAAGTTATCTTCGATCTCCTGTTGAATGATATGAGCTAACCTCCCTATACAAATAACAAAAAGATAAGGAGATACAGGGTCACCTTATCTATTTCCTCTTGAAGGACAAAAAGATTCAGCCTTGTTCCCATCCCACAAAAACTGCATAGAAACTGAAGACACACACTTAATCAATATATCCACCATATGAGAAGGGAAGTTCAAATCTTGGATAGAAATCCCCAATTCAGAGGATCATAGGTTTTTTTCATGTCAATTTTATTGCCACAAACCCTCTCTTTCCCTTCATTGTCCACATAGAATGTATCATTTCCTGGGTCATTATAATGTTATCTGAGCTATGACAACCCGAAACAAAACTACATTGGCTATGAGCTAAATGTCCAGCAAGAAGGATTTCATTCCATTAGTTATCACCTTGGTTAACACCTTGAAAATCACATTGCATGGGCTTACAGGGCAAAGATCTCGTAACGCCTTGGATTTTTCTTAGGTATCAAAATCAGAAAAGCCTTGTTGATTTCCCATATTTGACTTGGATTGCAGAATAACTCTTTTGCAAAGGAAATAATAGAAGGACCAACCACTTGTCATTTACTTTGGTAAAAAGCAGCACCAAAGTCATCAAAACCAAGAAACTTTAAAGCACCCATGGATTTTATAGCTATATGAATTCCATTAACTTCAATGTCGTCCAAACCTTTGTATGTAAAACCTCCTCATCAAGTTCAGAGAAGTTAATTTTGAGTGTGTTTGAATTAAAAAAATTTACAACTAAGGTTAGAGTTTAATTGAGGTTAAAAAAAAATCAATTCATATAATGTAATTTATGTTTAGATACTTTTTTTTTAAAGTCAATTAGATAAATTAAAATGCATTTAGATAATTTGATTCAAAAGCCAGTTGAGATATTTAACGATAAAAATAAGCATAAATTTTTTTTATTTTAAATAAGCATGTTTATATTTTTTGACTAACTAATAGGTAAAAAATATTAAATTTAAAATTACAACTAATAAGTAAAATATTATAAATATTCAATTATAAAAATTTAAAAAAAATTAATATTCAATTAATATAATTTACAATACCATCTCTCAAGGCTGCATTTATTCTCAATGCTTTGAGTCTTTAACAAGAAGTTTTTTTGATGGGTTATTGTCAAAATATTATCTGCTCCTTCTTTTAATTCAAGACATCACCAAACTATGCATCGTGGAGTTTAACATTTTTCACGAAGGTTTTCTCTACTTACCTCCTCATCCTTTAACTTTCGTACTATTCATGCACTGTAAACGCTTATTTTTAAATATTATTATTTATCTTTATATATATATATATATATATATTCCCCACCACGCATAGCAGAGTGGCACACAGCCACGCTCATTTTTGTTCGAAATTTTTACATATATATACCAATGCATTATTTTATTTATTTTTTATTTTTTTGCCCAAAGATGCATTGTTTTATTGAAATCTGAATTATACAGGAGTAAACAACCTCCAGTTCTTCGCCAGAACTGAAGTGGACTGAAAAGTAAAGACTGAAGACCACATCGATCGTCAAATTTGTTCGATTTCTAAACCTCATGGGTGAAGGCTTAGAGCGAGGCATGAAGAAACAGTAACCGAAAGCAAAAGAAGCAGGAGAGGCCTAACAAACGAATAAGGATTCGCTGCTTAAAGACGAAGAAGACTCGAAAGAGAAGAAGAAAGACCACACACTTCCCGACGCATCCCCATCCCTCACACAGCAGGCTCTTATCTTCGGAGCCTCAAATCCCAGTCCTTGCCTGTCCATTCTTCTCCGGAATTGTCAATTTTTGAGGGTCATTGCTCCCCCACTCCCACCCTCAACAAACGCTTCTCTCCTCCGCCGCAAAACTCGCCTCCCCGCTCCTTGTCGGATTCATCAATCTCCTCTGATCTCTGCTCCATCATTGATGGAGCCCCTCCTGTGGAAGAGCAACGAAGGTGAAGCTGCGATCTGGTTCAGTTGAGCTTGTGAGGTCATGGGAGAAAGAAAACACGCACAGTGGGATGAAAAGCAAAGCTGGTGCCTCGTGGGGTAGATAAATGAGGGGAGAAAGAAAGCAAAAAAAAAAATAAAAATAAAAGCTAATCAATGCTTCCAACAGCCACTGATCAACGCAAAGCAGGAGAAAAAAGCCAACGCTATCAGCTTCTCAATTAACGCTGGTTTAGCTCTACCAAAGATTGATAAATTTTGTTAACCCAAACATTATTTTTTAACCCTTTTATATTCTAACTTTAGTTTGGCTCAAGGTTAAGATGTAAACCAAACATGTACTCATCTAGTAGTCAAAAAAGGCTGAACGTCAACCTCTTCAAAAAAAAAGGTTGGCAAA